TCATTACTATAATTAGACAAGAGATAAATGAAATAATCATGAGGATGATAGTACGGAATACAAAAAGTTTGTGCCAAAAAGCTCTAAACATACTTGAGAAAGTAGAAATATATGGTTTCAACAAAATGTTCATGCTAACAAGTATCTACCCGCAAGTTAAAAGATGTAGTGACAACTCTAAAGCATAAATCATTATCTCAAATAATTTTAGATAAATATTTATTTCATCGTAAACCTTATGTAACATAGTATATATTTTTTTGCAATATACGATCTTATTACTATGTGGAGGCAACTTTTCTTAAGCCGGAAATTAAAAAAATTATACTTATTACATGTAGTTTATTCTTATTTATAACTATCCCAAATTGGGAATGAATTTTTTATGACTATGTGAGTTTATTCATAATAGAGTATCACTATAGAGAGGTTTTACTATATATATCTACACTGTTGTATTTCACATTTAGAGTTGAGTATACTTACATGTTGCATATTCTATGTGATTTTGTATATAGTGTATCATATATTCATATTAGTATTAATTATATATGGCAATATATATATATATATGCAACATGTTAACATGTAATTTGGTTCATTTACCAAATAACACCATACAACTATATTATTAAAATAACATGTTTATTATTTAATTTTTTTTTTTTTTTTTTTGTCTATGATTTTGTGAATCACAAAATTTTTAAATAGAATATCTGTATGTCATTTAAAAAATCGTCTTACTTGCATTAATAGTATTATAGTATAGCATTATATGGCTTACATACTACTTTAATATGAGATTAGGGTTGCATTTTTTTTAAGACCATTAACGATAATATTATCTTTTAATAATATTATATTTTAAGATATTAACATAATATTATCTATAGTAAAACACAATTCTATCAGAAAATAAATATTATTCTTGAATTGAAACACTTTGTAACATCAGAGTTCTCGATGAAAAAATGAGAAGAGGGGCATAGGAGGTTTCCATAAATACGTCTAAGATGATTTATTAGACTGAGTAAAATTGAATGCAATTACTATTTAATACTTTGTCAAACGACAAGAAATAATGGGGTGTGTGTTTGAGCTTATGAAATTAGCTTATAACAACAAGTACTTATAAGCTAAAATTAGCTTATAAACATTGAAATTTTAAGTAATTACGTGTTTGGTTAAAGTACTTATAAGTGACTATAAGTAGTTGACGTGTTGGTAAATGTGGCTTATAAGTACATTTTATATAAAAATGACTAAAAAAATGTACACATTAAATAAGGGTATACTATGGATTTTTTAAAATTAAATAAGGATATGTGGCAATATACTGGTCAAACTAACTAAAAAATATCCCTATGTTTGTTTATTTATTAAACACCCCTATAATAAAACTTTGAAAGTTAACAAAACACCTCCACCCACCCATTGAATAATCACAGCTGGCCACCATCACCGGAGGGTGGTCGGAGTCGCCGTATCAGCGTATAACCGACTAGATCTTGCCGGTCGTGCGTCGATTTGGCCGGCAAAGGCCAGATCTACGCTAGAACTACCATTGACGGCCAGCTCTGGCCGCATTTGTTCGTCAACGATGGCCAAAGATACGCCATCGTTGATGGTCAACGATGACCATATGTTGGCCATCGTTTGACGTCTAGTTACGGCCAAAGATCTGGCAGTCAACGGCCAGATCTTTGGCTTTAGATCTGGCCTTTTTTACCAGATCAGATCCACCGTGGATCTGGCCGAAAAAAGGCTAGATCGACACACTACCGGCTAGATTCACTGGTAGTGCGCCATTATATCAGATTCTGGCCAACTTCTGGCAGTGTGGCCGGAATCTGGTATAATGTGGATTTAGGGGTGTTTTTGCAATTTAAAAAAATATTTAGGGTATTTAATTAAATTAACAAATTTAGGGGTTTTAAAAAAAGTTGAATAATATTGGATAATATTATGAGTTTTGGGCATTTTACTGTTTAACTTTTTTGGGAATACTAATAATAGTATTCTATTAGTATTCCCAAAACCAACCAAACGGAGCCTAAATCATTGTCTCAAACAACTTTAGATAAATATTTTATTTCACCTAAACCTTTAATTAACATATATATATATATATGATATTTTGTCCAATATTAATTATGAGGTTAAAGAAGCCATTCAACAAGTTGGGTTAATTGTTATTTACACAAAATGAGGGCAATTGTGTCCAAAATTTTATTAAATAAGAATAAATTAGAACAAAAAAGGATTTTACCCTCTGACTCGTGATCGCATAACCTCTATATCACCTCTCATATTACTTGAGTAATAAAATTATTGGAATCTTTTATTACTGGTTGAATTAAACGAGATAATGACCGGATTAAAAATATCCTACAACTGTATTTTTCTCATTTCTTTTTCGCACAGATACCCATTTGTACCTTACTAGCATTACATCTTTAGATGTTCTAACTTCGAACTACAGGTCCAAAAACTCTACATTTTTCTAACGAATTCAGTTCTTCTTGATTGCGTCCTTCCATTTTGGCTAATCTTCACTTTGTCTCATTCCTCAACAAATTTAGGTTCAAGATCATCATTATTATTTACAATATCAAGCGCTATATTGTATGCAAAAATATTGTCGACAATTATTCTTTTGATTCCATAGTTTTCTTGTAAAGACATAATTATGGAGATCCCTTCATTCTACTAGTTTCAGTACTAACTTCTTCTAGAGTTTCATGATTAATTATGTCTCTATTCTCTTCATGAGAACTTGCCTCCTTGATGTAAGCATCTTGGTCATTTGCTACTATTTTCTTTCGAGGATTTTTATCTTTGGAACCACTGGTCTACCACGCTTTAAACGTGCCTTAGATTCATTTGCTACAGGTAATTGTCCTTCAAGGACAGCAATCCGAATTGGACATTTTGCAACTGGTATGTGAGATTTAGTCACTCTTTTGAATTAGTAAATGTGTTTGACAACTGATTTGCTACATTTTGCAATGAATAATCTTTGATCTTCTTGTTCACATTGTTAGGATGAGGATCAAGATAAGATGATGATGATTTTTTCCAGTAATTTCCTTTTCCAGTTGCCTATTTTGTCCCCCTAATGCTGGAAATTTTGTTTCATCAAAATGACAATTGCAAATCGTGTCATAAATAAATCTCTTGTTAATGGTTCAATATTTAATTATAGAAGGAGATTCATATCCAACATATATTCCCAATCTTCTTTAGACCCATTTTAGTGCGTTTTGGGTGGAGCAATTGGAACATATACCGCACATTCAATATTCTTAAATGAGAAATATTTGGCTCTTGACAAAAGTCAATTGTAAAGGGGAGAATTTGTGATAACTTGTTGGCCTATGCGTACAAGTGCTGCTGCATGTAAAAATTATGTCCCCAAGCAGAACTTGGACCTTTGTTCTCATAAGTAATGGTCTAGCAGTCAATTCGAGGCCTTTAATAAATGATATCTACTAGACTATTCTGTGTATGAACATGGGCAACAGGTTTTTCAACCGTTATTCCAATTGACATACAATAATCGTTAAAAGCCTAAGACATAAATTCACCAGCATTATCAAGGCGTATTTGTCTTAATTGTATAATCTGTAAATTGTGCTCACAATCGAATTATTTAGGAGAGTAATCTTGCAAACGCCAGGTTGCGAGTAGATAATAAACACACATGGAACCATCTTGTTGATGCATATACTAAAACCATAAAATATCTAAATGGTCCACATGGTAGATGAATAGACCCACATATATCACCTTGAATTCATTCTAAAAATGTAGGTGATTTAATCCCAATTTTAACTGGTGATGGTCTAATAATTAATTTACCTTAAGAACAGGCAGCATAAGAGAATTCATTAGATTGAAAAATCTTCTGATTTTTCAATGGATGTCCATGTAAATTCTCAATGATTCTTTGCATCATTATTGAACCAAGATGGTCTAACTGATCATGCCAATTAATACAAGTATTAGGATCAGTAAACTTCTGGTTTACTATAAAATGTGTTTCAAATACACTAATATTTTGTGTAGTACAATCTGGAAGAAAAAGCAGGTAATTTTTCTAACACACATTTATTGCCTATAATTATTCTTGTAATATAAATATATTCAATATTTCCTTCATTGGTTCTCTCAATATGATATCCATTACAGCGAATATCTTTAAAACTTAATAAGTTTCTTTTAGACTTGGAAGAAAATAATGCATCTTTTATAATAAACTGTGTTCCTCCAATCAATTATATATTAGCTATTCTAGAGCCTTCAATCAATCTTGTACTACCAGATATCGCATTTATGTTAGCTTCACACATTATCAAAGAAGAGAAATATTTTCTTTATTTAAGTACAGTGTATGTTGTAGCATTGTCTACGGACAAAGATCTTCATCATCAATCTTGGATCCAATCATAGACTTGGGAATGTCCATTTTTCTTTATTCAAAAACAAAATACATAGTAAGGCATATTACAAAGCCAACAAAACAATGTAATTTATCTAAAATTGAATATCACACTTAAACATATTAAAGGTAAAACACTCATTAAAAGTAAAATACTCAACTTAAACATATTAAAAATTAAACACTAGCAAAAACATAACTTAAATAATTTTGGACATTTCCATCCCCAATTAAATGATCGATTCTCCCTTCAGGATTTTTGAAGAAATCTACAACATCCAGATGTGTTATATCAATAGGTCCATGATCAAAGTTATCATCTTGATAAGCAAAATTTGCTTCTCTATTTTCATTTTGGTAGGCAAAGTTTGCTTTCATATTTGTCTCTTTTTCTTTCAACGATGCTTGATAAAGTTTAACAAGATGTTTAGGCATACAACAGGTATGTGACCAATGTCCTTTCATGCCACATAGATAGTACATATTTTCACCAAGACACATAGCATCTAAGTGAATTTCAGCATCAAGAATCCATAACAAATAATTCTTGCCCATAATATCAAGAGCCACAAATTCAAGTTTCGTAAGATTTGTCATGACGAAAACTGGAAAAGAATATTTAATAAATTAGACAATCTCTAATAAAACGAAAATATTATCACAAATAAGAATTTAGAATAATAATAATGAATATACAATTTATTACAGTTATAGAATTTAATCATTTAAAAACATAAATCATAAAAGCAAATATTTACAAATATATGTGTCTTTTTTTATTAATCAAATTATAAATCTATCACTATATAAAGTCTTGTTTATAATGAAACCAAAATGTTCCAAATTAAAACACTTTCATATATTTTATACTATAAAAATGATTAAACATTCCAACATATTTATAAAACATAGTGAGATACAAGCAAAATTGAATTTACTTACTTGGTAAATGGAAAACTCCAACTCCAAATTTGATTAGGGACAAAAGCTTGAAACTTGATGAAAACTCCAACTCCAAATTTGATTAAGGACAAAAGCTTGAAACTTGATGAGAATCTTTTTCCCTTGACAAGTTGATATGGTTAGAGACTAGTACAAATAACTTATTATAAAATAAACTAAAAGAAGAGCGAAGATAATTGAGGGAAAATAGAACCAATAGTTTTTTATTCTAAAGTTGAGTGTACATCATATTTCACAATAACTCTATTTATAGTCTCAAGATTAGACCTGACAAATGGGTAAGAGGGGTAGCTACGGGTAATAGGTAAAACGGGCATGGGTCCACGGGTAAAATTTTTTATGGGTAAGGAAATGCAAGACCCGTACCCACCCATATGGCTACAAGTCGACCCGCAGGTCACCTATTTCCCACATATTTTCACATTTTATTTTATTTTTTTCAAATAAAAGTAACTCATCTCCATCACTCACAAGTCCTTCAATCTTCTGTTTTCTCTTCCTCATAAATTTTCATCTTTTCTTTCCTCTTCCCCATAAATTTATTAAGAGAAGAGAAGATAATTGCGGGGAAATATAAAAGTTGTCCAAATAATTAATTAATAAATTTTCATCTTCTCTTTCCTCTTCCCATATGCATATATATTGATATTTTTATCCAAATAATTAATTAATGAGGTTAAAGAAATCATTCAAGAAGTTGGGTTAATTGTTATTTAACACCAATAGGAGAGCATTTGTGTTCAAAAATTTTATTAAATAAGAATAAAATTAGAACAAAAATAGAATTATTATCCTTAGACTCGGTAATTGCATAACCGCTATATCACCCTCCATATTACTTAAGTAATAAAAGATTATTGTAATCTTTTATTACTAGCTGAATTAAACAAGATAATGACAAGATTAAAAGATAGATTACCACAATAATCTTCTTATAACTCTAACCATAGGCAATATGTCATATTTTAGGTTTACAATGAATTTATTTGCTTCGGCATTATTTGATCAAAATCAAGCTCAGGAAGGTTGCGGGGTGAGTTATTGCCCTTAGATCATGGAGTAAGACATCCAAGGGCTGGCATTGGAGGCCGAATTAACAATCCCCATTATTTGGTTTGCTTAAACCTGATGGTCTATCTCAAAAATGCTCTGGAACCAGAAGGAACATAATATAAAAGATGAACACAATAAGAGAGTTCAATTTTATTTATGTAAGCACAACATACAAACTGAAGAAACAAATTCAAATTCAACACATCACTGACATTCGCACATTATCTATGGCATAAATAGCTTTTATTATAAGACACTCATAACACACCAACTTATTTAGCATAGTCTAACTGGTGGCAAATTACTGTTTGGCCTGCAAGGAAGAGAAACTTAGCTTTCAATCTAACAAAATCAGATTATAAAGGTTAAGGCGTGGGCTGGTCTAAGGATACCTGGAAGCGCTTCTTGGAAAATTCCACCAGCTCTTTTGGATCTGTTTTTGTCTGCTTGTAGGCATCAATCTTGTTCAGCTCCTGCATAAGGATTTTTTTTTTTTAATAAATGATTAAAACTATCTTAAAATAGAGTAATCTCTTCCTGCACAATTGGGAAAGAACGTAAAAGGGCTTTCCGACATACCTCGATCCATGCTGCTAGTTTTGGCCTACCCTCTGTAATGTCATACTTGTGTACTTCTGATAAGAAGATCTGGAACCTTTCAACAAATGTAATATAGGCTATATCCGCCTGACGACCACATAAATCCATTTGTAAATCAGAATGATACTCAAATCATATAATTATAATAATAAACAATTTCAAAAACAACTTCTATGCCTACTCAAGCTAGCTTAATTGAGAAGTTAACATACCAAACTAAACTGACCAAGGAAGAATGGGCCATCATCAAATTTCTTAAGAGCATTTTCCAAGTAATCGAAAGCGGCACCTGTTCCAAGTTTCTAAACTTTTTAGTTCAGTTTATATACAAAAACCCCTAACCATGGAAATACAACATATTTCAAAACATACCAGCTTGTTTTACAGGGTCTCCTTTGAATGAAGCATACACATCCTTGTTGAATGTATCAGTGTAGGATAACAATTCTTCACCAAACTTCTTTTTTTCAGGATCCTAATAACATTACTTCAGCTGAAGTTAAGAAACACTAAAGTTTCTATTAAGAGCAGCAATGAAATATGCACATCTTATAAAAATATTTTAAAAAAGGATGCACAACTTACATCAGGGAAAAGAGAAGGTCCTTCAAAGTTGCTGTCCACATATTTAATCAAGTCAATACTCTCTCCAATGATTTTGCCGTTGTGCTCCAGTGCTGGAACCTATAAATAAGAACTTTAAAGTTTAAACGGTAAATACTTCAATAGTCCTAACAATTACCTCAGTCTATCATAAAGACTAAAACATACCACCTATAATTTAACTAATTTTTTTTTTTTCCTTGTAACCAAGAAATTCCAACTCAATACAAAGAGACCATTTTTCATGACCCTGTAAATCAAAGCATAGCAATAAGATTCTGCCTCCTCTTTTAAGTATTGGACCTTGTCATCGCATCTGATTCAGGGATTTCTTCACACAGATTATAAACATTTGAAATACAGCCATACACAAACACAAATTACCCTTCTCTTTTTTAACCACTTTGCTCACTCAGAAACTCTAAACTTCCAACTATTGTTCTAAACCCTCCCATTTTTGTCATGAGAACTTCTTGGAAAATTATTCTTACTAACAAACTCCAAATCATAACTCATGCCAAGCAATTCCATATAAACAAACTATATCAGTCATGGACTTAGCCGATTCATCAACTTTACTAAAGCTAACAATTTCATTCCTACATAAAGATACCTTTTGTAGTATTGAGTTCATCACTATTATGACCGAGCCTCATACCAACAAAAAAGAATTTGATGTTATATTCCCAACAAGCGGGAGGATACACGATCTTGCTCATTTCTTGAAAATGATTTAAAATTCTATTTATCCCTTATTTTATGCTTCACAATCGTTGTTATGCACGTGTGAAAACTATCAAACATCCCAAGTATAATTTCCTTCAAAAACAAATGAACAGAACATATTCATGACTCATGTCTTTTGAATCATGGAGACTCCGTACTACTTATCAGCAACATTTATCTAAATACACAAGAAATTAGATAATAATAGAAATCTATCAAATCCATAATAAAAGACAAAAAATGTTTTCATAAACAAATCACCTTGTTAACATGGTAAACGTTCTCTGCATACCAAGCAGGCCTGTCTTCAAGGTTTAATGGAACTAACTTAATCTTGTCTTGTAATCCCTGCCGCCCGACAGCCCAACAGATTCCAAAGAAATCAGTGAGAGAAAATTAATAAAATCAAACAAATATTTCTAGACAAGAAAAACAAGACAAATAGATCATTAAAAAGTAAAAAATAATTAAATAACCTTATAGTTTCTGGTGATCCACACTCGTTGAGCAAATGGACACGTGTAACAAGTATACAGCCTTAACAAATAAAAGACAATACATGTAAATCAAGTTAAAAAATAAAAAATTGAACCCCGAATGGCACAAAAAGAAACTAAAAAATTCTCAAAAATAAAAAAAATGTAAAACCTGATAGTTCCATCAAAGAGAGGTGGCTGCTCGGCCTTAGAATCCAGAACTGGAGGAAGATTTTCTTGCACACTATCAATAAGAAAAGAAGATCATAATTTCATCATAATAGCGATCAGAATTGCGAGATTAAAGAGAAACAATGACATAAAAATGAAGTTAAGAAATGAGAAATTCTTACGCTGTAGCCATTTTGGTTAAGTCTCTGGAGTGTTCAGAAGCTTTCGAGTTTTTACTTTTTAGAGCTAATTTGATACTGAAAGAGGTCTATGTGCAGAGTGAGCTGTGTGCGCGGGGGTTTATATAGGAGATTTTTAAGTAAAGTCAGATCCTGTGGAATCGCGAGCAGTGACGTATCATGTACTTAACTTTACCGAGTAGTCGAGTACCATGGATTAATCTAGAATAAAAAAAAAAAAAAAATTAAAATTAAATAGATCAAGTCAAAGAAAAAGATTCGTCGGTCGTTCATCCTTTATCATATGTAAGTGTATTCATCAGCGATGACTGTTGAGGATATGTTATATTATATGGTTCTCGTCTATTTAATTATTTTTTTTATTTTAATCCAGCAAGTTAATTTAACTCGTCTATTTAATTATTTTTTTTATTTTAACCCAGCAAGTTAATTTAATTTAAACTAACTTGCTGGGTTAAAATAAAAAAAATAATTAAATAGACGAAAACCATATTTTTTTAAATTAACTTGTTGGGTTAAAATAAAAAAATAATTAAATAGACGAAAACCATATAATATAACATATCCTCAACAGTTAAATTAATTTGCTGGGTTAAAATAAAAAAATAATTAAATAGGCGGGAACCATAAAATATAACATATCCTCAACAGTCATCGCTGACGAATACACTTACGTATGATAAAGAATCAACGACAAGTTAATTTTAAAAAAAAAGAAGCTATTGGGTTAAAATGACAATACTCTAATCACGCAAAGATTGATATTATATAGAGCTATATCGTTTGATAATATATTTTTTTAATTTGCTGATAAATTCATATATTGATATCGTCTTTTCCATTAATTATTATTAGCATCAAATTATGTATTGCCAAAATAACATCGGTTGTGTTAGTTTCATTATAATATTATTCAAAATACTATTCTATTCAATTTTATTCAAAATATATACTTGTTTCAATATTCTCAAAATTCAATCTTATTCAATTCAAAATATTTATTTTTTAACCTTTTACATTTGTTAATTTAACTAAACACCCTTCATAATAAAAATTTATAAATTGACAAAAGTACCCCTATCAACCCACATATTCCCGACAATCAGCCACCACTGTCGAAAGGTGACCGGAATCTACCAGAATAGCACATAACCGGTTGGATGTGGCCAGTTGTACGCCGATCTGGTCTTTTCTGGATGCACAGTAGATTTGACCGAAAAGGGCCAAGTCGACACACTACCAGCCAGATCCAGTCGATCGTGCGCCATTCCGACAGTTTTCAACCACCATCCGACAGTGGTGACCGACTGTTGATATTTAATGGGTGGATGAGAATGTTTTTGTTAATTTTAAAACTTTTATTGTAAGGAGTGTTTAACTAAATTAACAAATGTAGGAGATTAAAATTTAAAAATAATCTAGGGTGCATTTGGTTTATTATTTTGGATAGGATTTTGGGGATAGTATTGGATAATTGAATATGAGAGTATTACGAGGTAAAATTTAGAAATTTATAAAAAAAACCCCTAAGTTTACTAATTTAATAAATACCCCAACATTTAAAATGACAAAAATACCCCCACCACCTGTAGTGCTAGATTTCGGCCACCACCACCGGAATCTGGCCGAAAAATCGCGTTACGACACAGACCGGTCGGATCTATGTCGTAACGCGTCGTTATGGCCTTTTCCGGCCCGATCCATTGTCGTAACGCATCGTTATGGCCTTTTCCGGCCAGATCCACCACGGATCTGGCCGGAAAATGCCAGATCTACGGCCTGTCGTGGCCGTCGATGGCTGAAAAAGGCCAAAACAACGGCCAAAGATATGGCCATCGTTTTCGGTCAACGATTGGCCGTCGTTCACGGCCATTTCTTTGGCCGTCGTTCACGGCCATATCTAGCCTTTTCCTGCCATATCCGTGGTGGATCTGGCCGGAAAAGGCCAGATCGGTGAAATTTCGGCTATTTATGGTCGACAGGTAGGCTGTTATACAGATTCTGGCTACCACCGACGGTGGTTGCCGGAATCTGGCAAGAATGGGCTGTGGGGGTGTTTTTGATAATTTTTAAACTTTTTTTTCAGGGTGTATTTGATGAAATTAATAACCTTATGGGGTCTAAAAGAAAATTAAAAAAATAAGGTAATATTTCTGGAATAATGTACCAAACATTATTTGGAGAATAGGATTGGGAATATAGATAAAAATAATAAGCCAAACATGGCTCTAAATATTTTCATTAAATATTTTCCAAAAATTTACCAAACACATTTTTCAAATTCAAATCTTATTTTCATAATAACAACCAAACTCAACTTCTTCAAAAATACTGCTCTACTCTACCAAACACAGTCCTCCATTTTTTTACTTTTTTTTTTGGTTTTTTTTAACGTATGGATCCCTTTGCTTGCTTTGACGAAAAGCTAACTAGCAGAAGTGATTAAATTAATGGTTTATTCCATTCTCGCCATGAATCCAGCCTGTAAATGTTATTATAATTCGGTCGTGACAAACTTCATTGGACACGAGGGTAAGATGTTAAACCCTGAAAATCAATTGGTTAGAGTTGAAAGTCGAAAATTACACGAGAGCAAGATTTGGAAAGGCAATTTTTTCAATCCATCTCATATATATAACATGACAGAGACAGAAAACCTAATATCACAGCATTAATTGACAATATTACCCTTTCACGATTAAGTTTTAATGCTTGAAGTACAAAAAATAGGAGTAACATGGGTTTTTCCAAAACCAAGGGGGGAAAACTGTCTTTTTACGATAGATTAGGGGTAAAAATGTGTTCACCTTATTGACTAGAAGAAAAGACAAGTGAGTCTTCTCAAGAATTAACAGAAGAGTAATGTTACATCCACGATCCCTTCTCACAACCCCGACGTTGCAATTCCCAATTGGTCAACCATAATTTACAAGTGAGACCCAAGTAAGACCTATTACGAGTTAACTAATTACAAACTGTCACATCGGGATTGTAAGAAAAAGTTTATGAGAAGAGGTTGTGAGCGTAACATTTTTCACTAAGAGTAACCGTCTCTATAGAAGATGCCAATGTTAAACTAATTGACAGACAGCCAATCTACAGAAAACTCAAGACATGAAACGGAAAATCTTGTTGCCGACACCATGAAAGAATTAATCAAAACAGCTCTCTAATTTGTGCTTGACATTTCTCTAATTGCTTTTGTTGCACATAATATGCTATGTTTTGCCACTCTTCATCTAAAAATAAAGATATTGCACAAGGCATACATATATGGAAGATTTTTCATTTATTTACATGCGTATTATATTGGTATCTTACAATTTAAAGTGACAAAATAATTAACAGGCAGGCCATGTCTGTGTTGCCAAAGAAATAAGCAAAGATAAAATGATACAAGGGACAGGAGTGTCTGACCTTCGTCATTAGGAACTGAAAACGGGAAGGAACAAAGAGAGAGAGACATTTTGCTTGCTCTGCTTGGTTTATACTAAAGAATGAATATGAAAAATACTAAGTTATCAGCTTCCTCTCTGCTTGATTTGGTTCTTTAGCTAGTCAGATTTCTTCATTAGACTCAAAAGCACCCCAGCACTAAGACTTGTCGCCACAAAACCAAGTGACGCCTCAGTTGATACATGAAACCCTACAGGTAGGGTTGGGAAAAGATCAGCTTTCCCTTTCCTTTTAAGTTGAAAGGTCAAAAAGATTATACATAATACAATGAATTTAGAGGAGACGCACCGAAGAAATCCAATATCATTTTGCACCCAATGAAACCGAGAACAACTGCAATAGAAGGCTGATAAAGAAATAGGCAGGAAAAAGATTCTATCAGTATGGATCCATTCTGGTCAATACAAAATGATACCACATCCAAAACAACAATTGAGCATTGAGAATATATTGTAAGAACTCAGTATTTTTGGCCTTTCTTGGATGAATACCACTCTTGATTTTGACAGGGAAATCATACACAGTTATAAAAGGAAAATGTTGTTTAGTCATCTTCTGATGTGTAAAGATTATTTATAGACACGGGGAACAACCACAGAGTTGGAGAATCATCAGTGATGCACTAAAATATTCAGTCCCAACCTTTAGTACAGTAGTGAAACTAATAAGATTTAGTAATAAGGGGCAAGTAAACTTATTACCTGTAAATATTCCAAATCTGCCATACCCTCAGAGATGAGCGTGTAAAGGGACCTTAAGCCTGCATCAGCCAGAGGTATGTCAATAATCAATTAATCCTTTTCTAATACGAGACACAAAACTGTACTCCAGTACAGATCTTCAAATTTCACTTCAAATAAATTCGTGCTATACTAAAGAGGTAAAACAAGCAGTTGTGTGGAATCCGACTGCACATAGAGCATATTACTTCAGAAGTGATTGACAGGCCAAAATTATATTTTTATTGTTATTGCGCCTAGAATGTATATTTTCACATGGTTGATTAAAAGCCAGCAAAAATCTTTTTGTGTGTGCATGAAAGAGAGAGAGAGAGAGAGAGAGAATCAAATTCAACATAAACATGTAATAATTCCACCTTAAAGGAAACTATCATCTTCAGAGATATAAGTAGCACTTCTGAGAGTTGCTAAAAGTCAGTAATTAGAGAAAGAAACAGCAGTACCTAAGATGGCAAAGAGATTAGACGTGAAGACTATAAAAGGGTCCCGAGAAACACCAAAAACAGCCGGTATTGAGTCAACCTAAAAGAAATTAAAATTTCATCAATGTTTTCCTCACAGCATTAACTGGCAAAATGCAATCACGAACTGTGTTTGTAAGTGTGTGGTTGCAAGTGTCTGTGCAAGACATAATTGACCGATGGAGAAAACTTACAGCAAATGCTATATCACTGAGCTCAATAACTGCTACCGTGAGCAGCAAAGGTGTGGCCTGCCCAAAATGTTTGACGCCTGTTAGAAATCAAATAAAATTAATTTAACTTAGTTAACGAATTTTAATACTCTGATAAATGCACAAAACATACAATGCGCATATAAAATACTATTATACTGAATAATTACAATGTCATTACTAAGGGTCAAAGTAGCATTCTGAACTCTTACAAGTACTTATCAATGACTTACTTTCCATATTCCGTCCTGATTTGTAAAAAATCGATTGCCGTCATAATAAGCTGCAACAGAAAGAAAAGGAGAATATCAAGTATTTGACCAGAAATATCAGCTAGTGAAAATTAAATAAGCTAAAGAAATGCAATATATTACCAGATCAATCCCAATTTTCAAGCTAATAATATTCTCTAATACTGTTTTTACCTTTCAAATGTGTTTAGATAAAAGAAAAATAGGTGTCGGGCGTTGGGTTTTCTTTCTATTTCTTTCCTGGTTGGGGAGGGGAAGTGATTATGGGTACAGAGATCAGGGGAAGACCAAAACAGACAATGAAAGATATAACAATGGTTCAAAATAAGAAAAGTGCCTTTCTGAAATACATCAGAATTCATTCTACTTAAAGAACCAAGTGTTTAGTAGTCTAGTTTACAGGAGAAAATATACATATATACAAGTCTCTAAATATACAATTTAGTTCAACAAGGTCTTGAACTTCTTTTAATATGTTCTCTGAAACTGACAGAAGTGACCCATTAAATCAAGGGAATAATGAAAGAAACAAAGACCACCCTCAATAAAATAATGCAACATGGAAAAATCAAGGAAGTACAAGATTACAAGCCACTCAACTTATATATCAAATGCTATCTCTCTATGGAGTCTATTCCTAGGTTTGATCTCTCCAAAAGTGTTTACAGTAACCTAGAAATTGTAATTACTAACCCACTAATATGTTTCTCTAGGGTTTTGGCCCTTTTATAGTGGCTAATAAGAAACTCAATTTTCATAAGCAAAATTGCTACCCAATGGAATTCAATGAGCCATCAACATGCCATGAAGCTATCCCAAGCCTAACCTATCCTGTCTAAAATATGATTGGCTAAACCTTGCGTTTATTTAGTTCGAGATAGGTCACTTCAAGGTTTTATCCAAGTTGAGTTCAAACTTCAAACTATGGAAGACAAGAACTTAGCTTGAACACGATATTACATTGAAGATATTGATTAATCAACCTTGGCAAACATTCATAAAACCAATTGTCACAACTCAAGAAACATAAATATAAATAAATATAATAGAAAGTTTACTTGTGACGGGGATAAATCTTTGGCATGTCTTCACTATAAAATTGTCAGATAGGTCAGAGTCATCATCTTCACTGGAAAATAGCTATCACAAAATAAAAAAGGAATTTATGAGCTGCTATACATTTAAGCTTTAAGAGCTATTGGAAGTTATGAGCCATAATTGTAAAAAGACATCCATTCAACAGGGGAAAACATATAACAAACCATTGAAAATATATATTGAAACATTGCATTAATTGTTGTTGTTACGTCTCAACAGAAAAGAAATGGCACCTTTACGGATGAGAATAGAAGTATTGCAGCCAATAGTAGATTAACCACCTCAAACCTCTAAAACAACAAGATAGCAAAAAAATCAGAAAGAATCAGACAAATGGTAAGTATGCGCATGTCATGAACAAAAATTGGTATAGAAAGGATTTACCTGGAGGGTGGCCGTCCCAAGTAATATTAATGTCAAGCGAAAGATTACAGCACCAGCAATACCATAAGAAAGCACCCGCTTCTATATTAGCAACATAACAAATTTTCCATCACCAAGGATTGACAAGCAATATTTGCATATAGAAACCATATTGAAAACCTTTTGAAAGGGCCAGATAATTATCAACAAGCAAATTAGAGGTTGGCAATAGTACCTGATACATAACAGGCACTTTTAAGTACTTGAATACCAAAACAAAGACAAACAGATTATCCACTGACAAACTTTGCTCCAATATATACCTGGAAATCATCATAATGGTCATTCTGGTGGAAATATCCAAGCTTTGAGAAAAAAAATTGAGCAATCTGGCATATACAAACTTAATATAACACCGTAAAGTCAACAAACAAACATGATGAAAACCAGAGTTGTTGAAACAGTTTTTTTTTTCTTAAATAAACTGCTCATAGTCGAAACTACACGCGATATGTGAATACATCCCTCTCCAACAGTGATAATCATAAACATCTATTCGTAGAGAGACAGATGATGTAGGTCACAGGTTTAAACTTTTATAGTTCACTAGTCTATCTGACCAATAAATCAAGGGGCACAGGAATGAAAAATTCTAACCTCTATGGTCAAAATTTTGGTCCAGGTATAATAGACATAACTTTTGAAGCTCAAATCTCATTTTCCAACCAAAGATTAAAAGGTCTGTGAGGAGCGAGAAGCAATAAACTTACACACACCAAAAAAGAAAAAGAAAAAAGCTAGTATTATAGCCAGCACCACTATCCAACAAACTAGCTCCCAACACAGGTCTTCAGCACTGTCATTAGGTCATATCAAGGTGTTCGGGTTAAGTCCGGCATTAAACACAACCCTAAACCAAGTCTTCTTTTTTGGTCTCATCAATAAACGGGCTTGTCCTTGATTGAGGAAATCTAAAGTAAGTGATCCTCTACTAAAACTTCACGAATTTCAGAGGCTACACAATAGCTTCATCTTGTGTTTTAGTATTAATGAACTGAAGCACACAAAACCCCAAATACATGATATAAACATAAGCCTTTGATGTCTTCATCCCCGAAGCTCCAAGATTTAAATAATATAACCAGAGACTTATGACATTGCACAGTGTAGTTAAAAAATAAGGAATTTTCAATCAACCATTAAGTGTATCACCAAGTAAAATTGATACTTGTCCATAATTTATGTAATGATCACCTTCCTTAAAAAAAATATATAAACAGTACAAAAATCTGCATACCCAGCAAAAAACTCAGATGCCTTGCCAACTCCTTCTTTTAAACCCACACCAAGGCCAAATGCCACCGCAGTGCACACCTATAAGAATCACATCTAAATTGTTTTTAATCTAGATAATGACAGAATCTGTATATCCAATACTCGATCACAATAAATTCACGGGTAACTTACGCAGAAAGCAACAGTTTTAATAGATGACGAAAAACTTTCATGTTCATCAACTTGTTTCTCTGGACTATCTACAGAAGTAGAAGTGTGAGACTTGTTAATATTACCGTATGACTGAGTGCTGCTCCTCTCGCTTTCTGCAGATCCATTTCACCAGTGCATTATTACAATTAAAATTTGTGAAATGATACCTAGATTATCATACAAAATGCTTAAAATTATTGAAATTGATACCACCTATAAATCAGATAGTACAAATAAACTGAATAGCAAAAGCAGGCATAGTTACTCCAGTAGTAATGATACCTGAAAACATAAATTACCACAATATACATTTATTCTAGCAATACTGTATAATTTGTCTTTAATATTGATTCCCCTCAGAGCTTAATTTAATTAATAATGATCTAACAAAATAATATTTTTTTCTCTAACAATAACTAACGAAACAACCACCACTAGATGGCCGAGCGGTCAACTAAAACTCTTAAGTGTATTACTCAAGAGGTCTTAAGTTCAATTCACTCGGCTACTAATATTAGTGACCACTAGAGGCTTATGCAGTTGTTAATTTCGGAGCCGGGGATTAGTTAAGGTGCATGATTAGTTAAGGTGTATGCAAGCTAACATGGACAACTGGTCAACAAAGAAAAATAAAAAAAAAAAAAATAACTAAAGAAATAACTGTCGACTCAATGCCTTCCAGTATGCTCAGTTGTTAGTTAAATTCATAATGTCAAAGGCCCGGGGATCAGTTGATCAATTGTTAGTTAAATTCATAACTTCAGGCCTGGGAATTAATTGAGATGACGCGTAACCTGCCACGGACACCCCGGTGAACACAGAAAAATTAATTAAAAAAAAAAAACCAAACGAAATAACTGTCGACTCAATGCCTTCCAGTATGCTCAGTTGTTAGTTAAATTCATAATTCATTCACGAAGAAGAAATCCACCTGAAGTAGATAAATCATGCTCTTGTTCAGTTCCTTTAGAACAGACAATCATAGGAAAATATCGGCCACGACGATTATGACCAACTGCAAATTCAAAATTTGGCGTCAAATTAAACAAGTCACTCAAAACATTAGGTTCATAAAAATTAAATAAAATAGAAAAGACGATGAGAAGAGACAGACCTGAACATAATGTATGAGCATGACACTGAGAGTGAAACAAGTGAAGAGCAGTCAATTTGGGAGGTCGAACTGGATGTGAAAACCTAAGCACCACTGAATCGAACTTCAGTGGAGCTTGAACGCCATTGTAAATGACCGAAGCCAATCCCATGGCGTAATTTTCAGCCTCTAACTGGAAATACATAAATAAGCTGCCAATTTAATTTTATATATATCTTATCCTCTCCAATTCGTCTGCTTGCGAGAAATGGTTGAAGAGTTACAGTCGTGACTCGTGTCCGCGGTCCGCCTTTTCTATGGTCCAGAGCTAGAGCTGTAAAATGGTGTCGTTTTGCTTCAAAAATATGAAAAAGACTTGAATTGAGGGAAAATTATGGACCATTATTTTCTTTTTTTCTTAAAATTGTGTAATTAGAATTAGAAACTTAAACCTTACAAAACATATATAACAAAATATTTATTTAATAATATATATATATACATATTCGTGATAAATGTGTATATAAACAATTAAACAATACTATACTTATAACTCAATCTCACAATTTTTATGTGACAATTCTCAATTTTTTGTTGATGAATTTTCCAAAATTCATTATTTATCATCAGAAAACTGGGCGCTATCACATAAAAATCGTAAGAGAGAGTTTTTTACATTGGGTTACTAGTCAATCTTTATACTAAACATTCATGATTATAAGCAAAATGTAAAATTGCTTGCAACGGATTAGCCGAAACAAAGAGAAATTACATCAAGTCATTGAAAAATAAATATAATAGGCTTGATATCAATTACAACACAAACATATAAATTATCCATGCTTGAATTGAATTAAAAATTTGATCTATTTTTGATTGATTAATGGATAAGATCTTTCATCCAATTTCTTTTCGCTTTTACCCTCTTCACTCTGGTAGATAGGGAAAGAAAACCGTTTTAGTGCTTGAGAGTTAGTCAACTCCAATGCCAACGTGTAAAAAAAAAAAAAAAAATCATTTCTTATTTTTAAAAAATTAAAATAATGTTTATATACATTTACTATTCCATTTTTAAAACAATATATTTGATTTCTTAATTTTGTTAATAAAATATAATTAGTTAATTTATTTATTAATTTATATTTAATTTCTAACACTAACTTAGAGAATAATTAAAAAAGAAAAATTATATTAACTCTAGTGTGTGGACTTTAGCACTAGAGTTGTGTAGACGTAAAAATCTACCTGTACGGAAGGAGGGTCTGATCCCGTGAGGTCAAGGCCACTAGCGATCTGCTGCACCTGCACACGTAGAGAAACACACGCGTGAAGCGAACGAGAAACACCGAGGTGGTGTTTGCCGTAGGCACTCCGACGCTCAAGTCAGTAAGGCTGAAAGGGGCTAATATAGTGAGGGCTAAGGAATAAGAGATTACCGGAAGTCTAGTCGGGGACTGTGACTACGGCGAATTAAGTGAAACTCTCGAGTGAAGAGTCTCGGTGAAAGTGTAATGTTGATGTCCTGTGGAGAGGTCGGGCCTCTGTTTATATAGTGAGCTCGGGTCTCCCAATCTTGGTAGAAGTAGGAGTCCTAGTATGACTCTGTGCAACCCTAGAGAATTAGGGTTGATAAGCTGTCTTACCAGTGTCCGTATAGGAAGGTGATCTGATTGGAGAGTAACCCGAATAGGAAAGTGATCAGGAATGGAAAGTATTCTGAGGGGGTTGTGGGCTTTGGATTTGTCCGTGGACCTAGGACATGGGCCAGGTTTGAGAGGCTTGTGCCCGCTCAGTTTGGGCCGGTTTGTTCCTCATGTTTAAGAAACTACGGCTTGGGCCTTTGCAACTGGGCTTGGTCCCTTCTTCGTTAATGGTCTTTTTCCCTATTTGGGCCAAGGACGATTTTTGGCCTAACAGTTTTGTCCCCACCTCTGAGTTGAGTATCTCAAGTTAGAGAGTAGGTCGTACTCAAGCGAGCTCGTTCTTTCCCCCTGATGAGCAATTTTTGGAGAGTTGACTGACCAGTGATTTGATTGGGTCTTGGGTATTTATTCCGAACAAGAACATGCCGCCACGCGTTGTGCCTGATCGGTTCGATGAGCCAGAGCCGAAAGCTAGTCGAGTCGCTCGGTACGTTAGCATGATTATCGCGGAAACATCGCGGGGCGGTTATTCGTCCTTCCAGGTCGGGCGAAACCCAGGAGTTTACCGGAGTCCATCGGTCGGCTGTGGGGACGACAAGATAGATGGAGACCAAACATGTTGATTCTTCGTTCGCCTCGGATGGGCGAATTGACGAGGCTTGGGGGCTTCCTGAGGTTTTAACTTCGGGCTACGCCGACCCGTCGTCCATCGTTCGGGCCTTCCGGTCGGTCGAACGCGAGACGTCTGAGGAGCCCTTGGCCTGAGAAGCTCGATCGGTGGGATGGGTCGAACGGCCATGTGCCCTAATAGGCTATCAGGACGTACTGCTGGATGTTCCGGATGAGTCGGTCGGGAGGGTTGGTCGGCCGAGCTGCGGAATCTGTACGGTTCCACGTTTCCCAGGTGGTTAGGGTCGCTGCCACGTGTACGGTGAGGAATGATTCGTCGTTCGAGAGCGGGAAAACGAAGAGACTTCTGACAACTGATCAATCATAGCCTGCCACGTGCCTGCCTTTTTCTTTACAAAATTGGGGGAGCAGACTGTTCATCTTCCATTCGGTTTTGTTTTGCGTTTTCTCTCAAAAATCCTTCTCTTTTTTCTGCGTTTTTGTCCCAGGTTCTTGACGAAGTGACTCTATTTCGGTCTTCCAAGGTAATTTCTTCTTTTTTTGGCGTCGTTTTGTTGTTCTTTAGGTAGATTTTCTTTTTTTTTTTGATAGGATTTCTGGAAAGTGAAACAAGGAAGTTTTGAGTTTGGTGGGTTTAGACTGGGTTTCTAGGCGTTTTTAGTGTTAGGATTTGGAGAAATTTTCTGGGTTTGAGTTTTCCGGTGAACTTCCGGGAAGAATTTGGTTGTAGGTGAATTTTCTGGGTTTTGGGTTTAGGTCTGGAAGACGAGTCGATTTTGGCGTGGTTTGGTCGGTCGGTACGTCTGACCGAGTGGCGAAAAGTGTGATTAGGGAACGGACGCTCAGGGCGAGTGAGTAGTGATCAAGGACAGCAGACTGCTAGAATTGAAGTTCTAGCGATCGGTCGTCCGGGGCGAACGAGTCGTGTGTCTTTGAGTCTGGCTGAGGTTTGTTCGTTTGGATAGTTCGGACCAAGTAGAGACTCGTTTGTGGTGAGAGGCTAGTTCACCCTTTCGGTCGGTCGGCTAGTGGGGCGACTGGTGTTCCACTTCGTTAGAACGGGTCGACCGAGTCTGAAATCGTTTTGAGGGCACTGTTCGGTGTTGAAGGGCGTCGGTAGTTTACACTGATTTTCTTTGAGGAGTCGGTCGTTGGATCGGGCGAGTGATCCGATGTCGGGTGATACGTCCTCAAGTTTGAGTCACGAGGTTGACTTGGGGGACAGTATGAGCGTGCCCCATATGTGGTAGGCCTAAAGGGGATGTTCCGGTCGTTGTGCTGACCGGAGTTAGTGTGGCTGCTCCAGGACAGTGGAGCTGGGCCGAGTGGAGCTGGTCGGTATGGTAGGGGTGGGGAAGACTCCGGGCTGACGGACCCTCTACGTCCGTAGTAGCTCTGAGGAGGGGCCGAGCAGCAGGTAGTGGGATTCTGACCGGGACTATCCGCCCGTGCTGAGGTAGTGACGTGTGGCGCCTCCGTACCCTGTATCATACCTTGGCTCTGTTAAGGTTCGGACCCCGCGGTCGTACGAACGTGTTGATTGGAGGCTGACGGTTGGGTCTGCGTATATGAGAAGTGGTTTCACGATGGTTGAGGTTGCCTGTGCCTCGCCTAGTCTGGGAGGTGCGAATCATTTCATTATCGCCCCCTCCCAGCTTATGCCGAACGCCTGAGGCTGTTGATGGCTTTGGAGGATCTGTGTGTTCGGCATCAGATTGTGTTCGGGTTGCACGGCTGCTGTACTCGTACTTCCTGAAGGAGAACGATAAGGAGAAGGGCCGATATCTACTGACTTGAGGCACGATCGGTCTCATCTTTGACCGACCTGCGGTCCAGTGACAGAACTGAAAGACCTTTACTTTTTCTTGAAGGGTCAGGCCGTCTTTGGGGATAGGGGCATGGGCGAGATCCCGATCGGGTGCGAGCCACTGGAGAACTTCGTTGTATCTTTCGTACTTTTGATTACTAATCTTGATTATGTTTCTTGCTTGCAGAGCTCGATTTCAATCGCGCTGGGCAGAGTGGAGACGGCTGTGGACGTAGCTACCCAGAGGGTGTTAGCCATCCCATTGGAGCAGAGAGATTGGCGAGTGGTGCTAGCAGAGTCCAATCTGAGGAGCGTATTCTTTGGGCCGGGGTAGGCTATTCAGAGAGGTACTCCCTTCCCCTCGCTGAAGCAGCACTTGGGATGTGCTCCTGAGTCGGTACTCCAACCATCTCATTTTGGTGAGTCAGGCTGAACCCACTAACCGTTGAGAGTTTGCACTTGCAGAGTCGCTCATGAAGAAATTGACTGTCCCGAGCGCGAGCGAATCCATCGCCAGGCGTCGAAGAAGAGGAAAAGGGAGTCGGTGGTGGAGCGGATGTGAGGGTCGAGACGTATTGCGACGCCGCCCATCGGCAGCCACCGATCAGCAGCCCTCGTCGGGAGTCGGTCGTCCCAGGCTGCCGTCGTGATGAGAGGCCGGAACTATCACTATCACGATTCCGGCTACTGCGTCGACTTACTCCGACGCGACATCAATGAGTAAGCTGGCCGACTCCTTCTTGTTCCCAGCGGACGGGCGCGTCTGAACCAGATGGGTGCGGTTGCTGCCGCTGACTGGGGCGTATCCCGCGCTGTTCATATGAACATACTTGTTTACTTTTCTTGTTTGACTTTGTTCTCATTGCCCGTTTTGTTTTGCAGGTACTCACTAGCAGTCTCCATCTGAGGAGGTCTGTCGTGGCGCAGAAGCGATACAAGATATATCCAAGGCCAACGCTGGTTTGCGGCAAAAGGAGGCAACATCCCGAAAGGCTGAACAGGAGAGTCAGCAGCGCCTCCGGATAGTGAGGCGGGTCGAGAGGCTGCGTCGTGATTTAGCCGAAGGGCCGCGGAGGTCGAATCCCTCAGGAGCAGTGCATCTCTATTGCTGACGATGCCATTATTAAGGCCCGAGGCGAGCTTATGCTGAGTTTAAAGGGG